ATCCATCCATCCATCCATCCATCCATCCATCCATCCATCCATCCATCGACTTTATCTTGGCATCAACTGATTTTCTTGTTTTACTTGGATTGATTGAACTTTTGTTATTATTTCAAAACAATTTCAAATCAAGACAATGTTGATCAATGTATGATAACCAGTTTTATCAGTGTGCTTCATAAGTGTTTTTTTTTTTTTTTTACTGATCGTTCTTATTCACTTTACCTAACCTACTTTGAATTATGCATCTTCAAGAATTTTTGTATCGGTGTAACCACAAAAAATAAAAAAATAAAAAAAATAAAATTCCAATTAAGAAAAACAAAAACTTGCATTAGTATGCAAATGCATTAACACTATATCAGTTTGCAACATTAACATACACTGCCTGCCCCCCAAAAAAGTTGCCACCTGGATTTAACTAAACAAATAGGTACAAGCCTCCTATTGGATAATTACTGCATGGGTGATTATCTTTCAGCTGGCAACAAGTTATTTAACCCCAACTGGTGCAATGAGATGCTTCTCATTTCTTAAACAACCATGTTGAAAGACACGTTGCGTGGTCATAGAAAAGATGTCAGTCTGTTTGAGCAGGGTCAAATCATTGACATGCATCAAGCAGAGAAAACATCTAAGGAGATTGCAGAAACTACTAAAATTGGGTTGAGAACTGTTCAACGTATTATTAAAAACTGGAAGGATAGTGGGGACCCATTGTCTTCGAGGAAGAAATGTGGCCGGAAAAAAATCCTGAATGATCATGATCGGCGATCACTTAAACGTTTGGTGAAATCAAATCGAAGAAAAAACAACAGTATCACTCAGGGCTATGTTTATTACTGAAAGTAAGAGCATTTCCACATGCACAATGCAAAGGGAACTCAAGGGATTGGGACTGAACAGCTGTGTAGCCTTAAGAAAACCACTAATCAGTGAGGCAAAGTGTGGAAAAAAGGCTTCAATTTGCTAGGGAGCATAAAGATTGGACTCTGGAGCAATGGAAGAAGGTCATGTGGCCTGAGTCCAAATTTACCCGTTTCAGAATGATGGGTGCATCAGAGACAGGTGAAGTGATGTACCCATTGTGCCTAGTGTCTAGTCATCAATGCAAGATCTTGGTGAAAAATTTATGCAACACTGGATGGTAACTGATCTTGTGACATTGCAGAAGATTATCAAAACAATGCCACAGCGAATGCATGCTGTAATCAAAGCTAAAGGCAGTCCAATTAAATATTAGTGTGTGACCTTTTTTATTTGATGGCGACTTTTTTTTTTGGCCAGGCAGTGTATCTTTTTTTATTTTTTTTTATTTTTTATATACAGTCAGACTTTCCTTTGGTCCGAGGTTCAACTCTTTTGATTCATGTTGGCTACTTCTCTTCAAAATCTTACACTATTGCAAAGGATCTCTGAAAGCAGAGAGATTAGTCCTGACAAGACAACTTCAGATGAAAGATAAACAACATTTAGTTTAGTCACACAGACACATATGGATGCATTCACATATGCACGCATGCACACAGATACCTCCCCCCCCCCCCCCCCCGAGAGAAGGAGAGCTTATCTTATCAACTAAGTCTTTTCCTAACTTCATTTTACGTCCGTGTTTTATCTGTTCCTTCCAAACTTTCACATTTACTCTCTCTGATGGGAAGCTGTCAAACAGATAATCACCTCAACAGCTGGATGCCCTAAAAGAAAACCAACATAGCTGCCAACAGTGACCATATGAGGCCTTTTTTTTTCTTCTGATGAAGATAGGCCACTCCTCTATTCACTGGCAAGCCAAAACATTTAGCTTCCTCTACTGGCATGCACCTCTGTTTTTAATATACCTGAGTGTTTCAGTTGTGTCCTTCAAAAGGAGCAGATTCTACCTTTAATGTCTATCACACACTGACATAATATCAAGACTGGTGTATTTGGAATGAAAGCCAAAAACTCAACTCAACTCAAATGTCCTTGTCACATTTGCAACATTTTTCTTGCCATTCTTACGTCTGCAGATCCAAGACAGCAGCTCATCATTCGTCAAAAAATGTGAAATTACTATCATGGGCAAGGCACTATACTGTTCACTGAACTTTACATAAAATAAAAATGTGCATGCAGGCCTGCATTTAGGTTTATTGATTTATGATAAAAATTTCAGAAATCTAATACCAGATCAGTCGAGGCCCGGGTTAACAACAACTACCACCAATGCTGTTGACAAACGGTGCGGGCAGAAATTGTGCTACTGTTAGCCGAAGACTACAAGGAGGAACATGTGGGGGAAGAAGAAAGACAAGAATGCAGGACTGATGGTGGCAACTCTAAATATGGGGGCAGTGAAAGGCAAAGGTAGAGAGCTGGCTGACATGATGCAGAAAAGGAAGGTAGATGTTTTATGTGTCCAAGAGACCAAGTGGAAGGACAGCAAGGCTCATGGCATTGGAGCAGGGTTTAAACAGTTTCAGTTTTGCAATGGTGTGGATGGGGGGAAAAAGGAGTTGGGGTGGTCCTGAAGGAGGAGTTGGCAAATAATGTAGTAGAGGAGTAAAGGTCAGTGTTTCCCCTGGATAAGACGGACAGAGACACGTCCTGAGCTGCACAGCACACTGTTTAAACCAACAGTTTTTTTTTGGGGGGGGGGGGGGGGGGGGGCAGAAAAACAGCCATGTGCTGTCTGTGCTGAGCTGGACTTTCAACGCAATTGACAATCTTTTCAACAAAGTGACAGGGTCCTGGAGAGCCCTCATGTCCCGCTGAGACTCACGCTGCAGATGTGAAGAGATCCTTTTTGTAATACCACTATCCATCCTCATGGCCTTTTCCCTTTTTCTATCTAAAAAGTATTCTGATAAAGGATAAGAGGCCATGCTCCTGTAGCAGCAGTAACGTGCACTCCGCCCATCTTTCAGATGACTGTACGAACATAATTTCACTGTATCTTGGTACACTGATAAGAAAGCTTATTCTGATTCTGATGATGAGTTGTATGGGAGGCTGGAAATGAAAGCAGGTGAGAAGGACTTGTACCACTTGGCGAGACAGAGGGAGCAGGCTGGAAAGGATGTGCAGCAGATTAGGGTTGTTAAATATATGAATGGTAATGTTCTAACAAGTGAGGAGACCGTGACAGGAAGATGGAAGGAGTACTTTGAGGAGCTAATGAATGAAGAGAATGAAAGAGAAAGAAGAGTAGAGGTCATAGAAAATGTGGACCAGGAAATGTGAAAGATTGGTGGAGGTAAAGGCCGGAAAGCTCTGAAAATAATGAAGAAGGGGGAGGCAGTAGAACCAGTTGACACACCAGTGCAGGTTTGGATGTGGTAAAGGGGTGAAAACAAGATTCCAGGCAGGATGGAGTGGATGGAGAAACGTTTCAGGAGTTATGACAAAAGGGTGGCAGCAAAGGTCAAAGGAAAAGTTTATAAGACATTGGTGAGACCAGCTATGTGATATGGTCTGAAGACAGTGGTACTGACAAAATCGACAAGAGAAAGAACTGGAAGTAGCAGAAAAGGAAGATGTTGAGGTTCTCCTTAGGAGTGACAAGGATGATAACATTAGGAATAAAATCATCAGAGGTACAGCACAGGTTGAACAACTGGGAGATAAAGTTAGAGAGGCCAGACTGAGATGGTCTGGACATGTCCAGAGATGGGGCAGTGGGTGTATTGGTAGAAGGATGTTAGAAATGCAGCTGCCAGGAAAAAGACAACGAGGAAGGCCAAAGAGGAGATACGTATATTGATGCAGTTAGAGAGGACATGGGGGTGGAGTGAGGACAGAGGATGCAGATGACAGAGTGAGATAGAGGAGGATAACTCGCTGTGGCAACTCCTGAAGAGGGTAAAGCCAAATAATAATAATAAGAAGAAAGATAGCAGAAAACTAATCTATAAAGTCTAATGATTTGCACAAGCTTTAGCTATACCTTCAAGTTTAAAGCCAAATAACTTTTTTTTTTTTTTTAATATTTTTAAAAAGCTCTATAACTTTAAATACCAGCGTTGTAAGCAGTGTCTCAGGTCAAAGTGCATCCTGAACTATTTGTCCTCTTTTTGGATTTATTTATCTTTTGATGTCAGCCTGTGGTCTGTCCACTCATTACAATTCTCCCCAGAGAGGAGATAGGAGGGAGTATCAGAGTAAATTACATTAAATAGACTTTATGGGTGCTCTTTACAGGAGGGCACATTAAAGTAATTGCACGAGCCCATGTGTGTGTGTGTGTGTGTGTGTGTGTGTGTGTGTGTGTGAGCACACGTGAAATAGCATATGTCTATTCTCCAAGGTAAAATATGTACAGTAATGGAATTGAAAGATCTACTTCTCATAAGAGACAGTGCATTATGATGGCATTCATGCAAATAATCTTTATGAAGGAAGGCTTTTTCTGTGAATGAAAGGTTAATGAGAACAGGAGCTAATTCGGATGCATTGTTTTGCATCTGTTTAACTATGAAAAGAGATTGTGTAGTTTAAAAGATTCAGAGGCTTTTTTTAAAGCTGTTGCCTATAAAAGTAAAATATATTTTAAAGGTATTGTCTGGTCATTGTTTAATGTGATGTTCTGTCAAAAACTTGGCACCTCATTAGCCAAGAAAAGAACATACATCTCTGCTAGTCTTTGGCTAGGCTAATAGGCTGCCAAGCCAAACAAGGCTTCATTTTATATAATTTTATTAAGATTATAAAATTACTTTTTTTCTGAAAAATAAGTAAATAAATAATAATAATAATAATGTCATCACAATGTCAGCACTGTATGTTTCCATACAATGGCGAAATTAGTCTCTGCATTTAACCCATCCACCACCAGGTGGTGCAGTGGGCAGCTATTGAAAGCGCCCGGGGGACATTTTGGGGATTAGACGTGCTGCCCAGAGACGTCACGTGATGTGCAGTGACTGGGAATCGAACCTGGGACTCTCGGGTCCCAAGCCGGCTGCCCTGCCTCTACACCATCTCGGCCCCACAAATAAATGTAATGTTGCTGTAAAGACCTCTACCCATTTGACACCATGTTTAGTTTGGTACTACATTTCTTAAACAATGTATGTCTTACAACACTAATGTACAGTATGTGTGCTGAGTAAAGTATTATAAGCAGATGGAATTGAGAGGCTACTGAAAATATCGGTCTGCCTGGAGTTTAGTAAAATTTTAGACTTAGTACATGTGCCAATGAGGTAGACTGATACATCCAGCAGCCTCTCAGTACTGTAGGCATATACAGTGAACCCTCGCTATAACGCGGTTCACCTTTCACGGTCTCGCTGCTTCACAGATTTGCATCGTGCATTGTGTTCTGCATTCTGATTGGCTAAACGGTCTCTCCAGTACAGTAGTTATTTGTAAAAAAACGTTTATACGTTTATACGTTTGTAAAAAAAATAAAGTTACTACTTCACGGATTTCGCCTATCACGGGTTCCTTTTGGAACGTAACCCCTGTGAAAAACGAAAGTTCACTGTAACTCTTTATCCTCAGCACACATGCATTTGCAAAGTAATTCAGACACTGTTCAATTGGGAAAAAAAATGTAATAAACTAAACAAACAGTGTCATGCACTAGTGTACAAGCTTGAAAATAGCTAAAGTTGTGTACAAGTGCGTCTAAAAAACTTAGAATATCGTGAAAATTTTAAAAAATGTCAGTGATTTCAGAAAGTGAAACTCAAATACCATATTACACAATTCATTACACAAATATTTCAAGCCTTTATTTCTTGAAATTTTGATGTTTATGGCTTACAAATAATGAAAAAAAAAAACCACCTTCTGTGTCTCAGAAAATTAGAATATTGTGAAGAGGTTTAACATTGTAAATTCCTGGTGTCACAACCTAGTCAGCTGATTAACTACATGGGTTATAATGTTTCATTCCTCAAGTCCAGACACTCCAGAGACAACGTCAGAAGCATCTTACCTGAGCTGAGGAGAAAAGAACTGGACCGTTGCTGGGTGGTCCAATGTCCACTTTCCAGATTAAAGTAAATTTTACATGCAATTTGGAAATCAAAGTCCCAGAGTCTGGAGGAAGAGTGGTGAGGTCCAGAATACACGTTGCTTGAAGTCCAGTGTGAAGTTTCCACAGTCAGTGATAGTTTGGGGCCATGTCCTCTGCTGGTGTTGATCCACTGTGTTTTCTGAAATCCACAGTCAATGCAGCATCTACAAGGACATTTTAGAGCACTTCATACTTCCTTCTGCTGATGAGCTTTATGGAGATGCTGATTACATTTTCCAGCAGGATTTGGCTCCTGCCCACACCGTCAAAGGTACCAAGAGCTGGCTGTGGCATTTTCTGTCTGAGACACTGACTTTTGTTTTTTTCATGTAAGCCATAATCATCAAAATTACAAGAAATCAGGGCTTGAGATATGTCCCTATGTGCAATGAATCTATGTAAAATGAGTTTCATTTTCTGAAATGATTGGCACAAAAACAACCTTTTCACAATATTCTAATTTATTGAGATGCCCAAAAAACTATTATAAAACTATCCCTCCTGCTCACCGTTAGTCCAAGCAGTCCTTTGTGATACTAATAATACACTTGCTGATATTACAATGATGATAAACTTTTAAATAAGTTGTAAAGTCTAGTTCAATTGTAGTTAAGTTGGCACGGTGGCTCAGCTGGTAGAGCTGTTGTCCCTCAGCGATAAGGTCGCCGGATAGAATCATGTCCTGGAAACTTTCTGGGTGGAGTTTGCATGTTCTCTCTGTGCATACATGGGTTTTCTCTGGGTACTCCGGTTTCCTCCCACAGACAAAAAACATGCATGATAGGCTGATTGGTAACTCTAAATTGTCCCTAAGTGTGAGTGAGCGAGTGGATGGTTGTTTCTCATTTATCTCTATGTGTCCCTGTGATGAACTGGGACATGTCCAGGGTGTCCCACGCCTCTCACCCAGTGACTTGTGGATATGGACACCAGTGACCCCCGTGACCCAGAAAGGAAGAAGCAGGTAAAGATAATCTAGTTTAAAGTACAACTTGTACAAAATAAAAATAAATAAAAAATACTGACTCCGAAGTTTCAAAATCAAAAGCTTTATTTGTGTGATCCATTTTAAATCACTGACAGCTAATCTCAATGCAACACTCAATTTTTGTTTAAGAAAAAAAAAAACATATTCTATGACATATATTTAACTTTCTTTCATCCAAAAGAGTTTCCTGACGAGAATAAAAACATACAGCTGCACAACCAGGGATATTCCATTTGAGTCAGAATAAAGCCTGAGATGTTCAGAACAAGAGCTGACTCAGCTCTTCCAGGAAATAAACAAAGAGTTTCACCTCATCAACCTGGCTACAAGCCGGAGGGAATACAAATGCCACATCTGCTCCTAAAGTGAAGATTTGATTCATGGAAAACTGAACTTGGTGCTCAATAAAAAGGCTTTGTGAAGTTTTCTATATCAGCCTAACAAAATACCCAATATCATTTACCAGTAACTCTTGAACAGCTAAAATTAATAGCTTTTCATATTTTTACACACAGAGAACTTCCATAGAGGAAGAATAAAAAAAAATGCTGATGTAGAATAAAGTAAATGATTCTTACAAAACATCCACGCCCACAGACATCAACCTACCCATTCCTCTCCAAATCTCATTTTTAACATAAGTGGTTAAAGATGTTGCTACATCAGCTGCACATTCTTTAAACTCTAGAGAACAAGGAGCCTCCAGTCCTCAGAACTACACATAAATGTTTTGCCTTGAGATCTTGTGAAAAGTTGCTTTTAATTTGAAATAACATTTTTCAGCAGTTCCATATGAGAAACTGATAAGCTCAGTGATGACTTCATGATTTTCCTAACTGCGAAGCCCAAAAACCAAATTATAAATTAAGACATAAATACAAGCAAGAATAATTCAGGGAGAGATTAAGAATTTAGCAAACTCAGCCTAGAAATTGTGGCTATGCTGACTAGAACAAGCTCAGCAACAAGCTTTTTTTGGTTTTTACCTCAACTCTGCAAATATGAACCACCACAGTAAGAAATACCGGTACATCACTGTTTTGTCAAAAATCATGAGAACTCACGAGTGAGTAGTTCAAAAATCCCTTTTATACATGTGCAATGACAAAATTAACCCAGATTACAAATAGAAACATTTCCTGATTATCACAGGAAAGCTGTCAATGTTACTGAGAAAACACTTTGTTGCTAAGACACAGACAATCATTCATAATGTACCCTATACATTATATATTTGTCAAACTGTAGCTTATAGCTGCAGTTTTGTGCATTCACTTAACTTGACATAACACTGGTAAGAATCTTTTTTTTGTTTGTTTTTGACACTATTATAATTTTGTGCTTAAGAAAAAAAATTGTTTATGAAGTACAAAAAACAAGAACTTTCGGGGTTTAAAATGTGACACTGATCACTAAACTTACCCGGCAGTACTCGTTGATGGGCCTTAGTCTCTTCATTGCTACATCTCTGATATGGCTCCTCCTAAACAGAATCTTTCCTGAAAATAGAGAAGGAGAAGTAGAAGTAGGGGAAAAAAAGTTATATATATATATATATATATATATATATATATATATATATATATATATCTCAGCTTAATGACTGGGTGATCAATAGGAAATTGCTGTATGCTATATATTATGCCCAATTACTGTATGTACACAAACATTCAAATACATAAAAATATGCATTGAAGGATATTTAAAAGGTTATGTTGACACAATAGGTGCACAGAGGCATCTACTAAACAAGTTGGTAAATTAGCATACATTTTGTATAGCCACATTATCAATAATGCTGTCAACACAATGAGGTGAACAATGAGCTCCTAAAACAGTTGGTCATTCAGAACTACAAATGAATTATTTTAGGAGTCCCAAAAACTAAACAAAAAAGAGTTAAATGGATACAAACAGGCCTTCTAAGGAAAAACGCATTACATTTGTAAAAAAAAAAAAAGAAAAAAAGGCTAAACTACTGGTAAATCAAAAATTAAAATCAACAAACAAACTAGTAAGATTGATGGGCAATTAAAATAAAATAAATTAAAATAAAATAGAAATTATATTTAAAATTTGGGAATGGTATACTGAAATTTGGCACCAGGTAAATAATCTAGATCATCTAAACCTGACAAACATATGCATTTTATAGCTATTTAACAAGGTAATGCTCTAAAACAAGAAACAACCCTTCAATGGTCTGAAATAAGATTGATTATAGGAAAGAGAGAAATTAGAGCAAAATCAAGACCAAAGTTGATGGTATGAGTACCGGTACCGTACATGTCTCACTTTTTGAAACATTTCATTTTTTCCTCTGCATAACATAAAAGACAGGTATCTGCACAATAGTAACATAAGGAAAATACAACAATATGTAGATCAACTATTTTATAAATCATCCATCCATCCATCCCAGTGTTTCCCCTAGATAACTTGCCATGGTGAGGCGCTCATCTCATCTGTGATTTTTTTTCGACCGGTGGGGGGTGGACGCGTCTGAGCTGCACGCTGTTAGTATTGATATTTTTCAAGCATGGGGTGGGGGTGGGGGGTTATTTTGAGGGTTCAGCATGAGGAAAGAGGCAGCGTGAGCATTGCATTTAGCTTTTTAGCTAGCGTGCCTGGTATTGCGTGCTGCTAGCTTAGCGCTACGGCAGTGCCGACGGGTGGGGTGTGCGCAGGGCAGGGCACTTGGTTCTGTTGACGGGGCGGGGCACCCTGCTTGTATAATGGTAGGGGAAACACTGCTATATTTATTTTAGTGTTTATATCCATCCATCCATCTTCCATCTTGTACTACTTATCCTTAATTGGGTCATGGAGGCAACAAGTCCAGGAGAAAAACCCAGACATCCCTCTCCCCTGTAACACATTTCAGCTCGTTCTGAGAGACCCTGAGGTGTTCCCAGTTCAGAGAAGACAAAATAATACACCCAGCAACTTCTGGGTCTTCCCAGGGACCTCCTACCAGTGGGATGCCTGGAAAACCTCTAAAGGGAGGCATCCAGGTGTCATCCTAATCAAATGCCTGAACCATCTCAATGGACCCCTTTCGATGCAAAGGAACAGCAGCTTTACTGTGAGCTCCCCCTGGATGACGGAGCTCTTCACCCCATCTCTAGGACTAAGCCTGGCCACCCTGCGAAGGAAGCCCATCTTGGCCACTTGAACTCCTACACCTGAGGAAAACACTCTCCCCCTGCCCAAAGTGGGCATTCCACCCATTTATAGTTGGGAACCATGGCCTCAGCCTTTGGGAAGCTAACTCCCATCCCCAGCCACTTTGCATTCGGCTTTGAACTGCCCTGGTGCATGTTGAAGGTCTTGGCCTGAAGATGCCAACAGAACCACATCACTCACATAAAGCAGAGATGAGACTCAGAGGTTCCCAAACCAGACACCCTATTCTCCATGACTAAATCTTGAGCTCCTGTCCATAGATGTAACAAACAAGATCGGAAACAAGAGACAGTCCTGGTGGAGTCCAATCCGCACTGGGAATGAGCTCAACTTTGTGCCAAGAATGTGGACACAGCTCTTGCTTTGGCTATACAGGATAGCTTTTAAAGCAACCCAGGCACCCCATACTCCTGCAACACCCTCAAAGAATGCCTTGAGGAACATGGTCATAAGCCTTCTCCAGGTCCATAAAACACATGTAGACTGATGAGGCAAACTCTCATGACCCCATTAGCAACCTTGCAAGGATGACAATCTGGTCCAGTGTTCCACGACCAGGATGAAAGCCACACCGCTCCTCCTGAATCTGAGGTTCAACAATCAGTCAAACTCTCCCTTCCAACACCCTGGAGTAAACTTTCCCATGGAGGGCAAGAACTGTGATACCACAATAACTGGAAGACACTCTCGGGTCCCCCTTTTTAAAAATGGGAACCACCACCCCAGTCTGCCACTCCACAGGCATTGATCCAGTCTTCCATGCAACATTCAAGAGACATGTCAACCATGACAGCCCCACAACATCCAGAGCCTTCAGCATCTCGGGGTTTATCTCGTCCACACCTGGCGCCCTGCTGTCGAGGAGCTTTATTACTACCTTGGTTAACCTCTGCCATAGTAATGAACGCATTCATTCAACCTTTATTTATACAGGTTAGTCTCATTGTGCCTCAAGGACTCATCTTCCCCAAGTCCTCGGACTCTGCCTCCTGAAAGGTGGACATGGTGAGTGGATTAAAGAGATCCTTGAAGTGCTCCTTCCACTGCTCAACAATATCAGTCCGGGTGAGTAACCCCCCACCCAAATAAATCATGCAATCTTATAATAAAGAAATTACTATAGTGTAACACTTCTTCAGAGAAGGTGAAAGCACAAACTGAACAAGTTAAATCATCTATCTGATGACTACTTCTGCCCCTCTAGTTCTACAATCTTCATTTTCTTATTTTCCTTCATTTGTTTTAAAACAGAAAGCACACTTAAAAGATTTTCCAAAGCTTTATGGGGTCAGGAGAGACGCAGTGACTCAACACTGCCCACTTTGTATGCACGGCAGCTCAGGGATGCAGGCGAAGAAAAGAGATTGTTAGGGTGGGGAAGAGGAGGGGGCTGCGGCTGCTGCCCTGGAGCCATGGTTGAAACAGGCGAGACTTTATGGCTAAAGTCTCTGAGGCAGCAGTGAGCAAAGGTATCAATCAGCTTTTATTTCTTGAAAAGATGGACAGATGTGAAAAAAAGAGACTAACAGAGAGGCACCACAAGAGGTTGTTTGTTCCACGTTTCATACCTAAAGGGCAGTGCCCAGAGGTAATCACAGTATGAGAGCTAACCACTTTCTACAAGTCTCTTTTAATGCCTCCATCTCTTTCGGAAAACAAAAGTCATTTGATACATTCACTCATTTTTGCCACACAAATTCTCCATAAAGGGATAATCTCATTGCCCCTTTATTTCAAAGTGTGCCCCACCCTAAATTCTTCATTTTGAAAAGCCTTCACTTTAGGTCAAAAAGGGGATAAGGGCACCCTGTGCTTTTGTGAACTTTATGCGAATGCACAAAAAAAATTGTTTAGTGGAAGTGGCAAAATGGGATTTGGTTTTATTTACCGACCTCACCACTGTCTTTGGCTATTTAAGCAAGAATTAAGGTTGAAAAAATCTTTACATAAACATCAACGCTCATTGGTGAGACAAGTTTGAAAGTAAGTGTAAGCATTTTTTTTTGTACATAAAAAACACAACATTTAAATACTTTGTTTTGATGTAATAAACGTGGTCTTGGCATTTTGAATAAAAAGGCTAAAATAAGCAAATGCTTTCTTGAAAATATTTCATGCAGGTTTATGGTAATACAGGTCCTTCTCAAAAAAATAGCATATTGTGATAAAGGTCATTATTTTCCATAATGTAATGATAAAAATTAAACTTTCATATATTTCAGATTCATTGCACACCAACTGAAATATTTCAGGTATTTAATTGTTTTAATATTAATGATTATAGCATACAGCTCATGAAAACCCAAAAATGCCTGTCCCAAAAAATTAGCATATTTCATCCCACCAATGAAAGACAAGTGTTTTTAATACAAAAAACGCCAACCTTCAAATAATCATGTTCAGTTATGCACTCAATACTTGGTCGGGAATCCTTTTGCATGAATGACTGCTTCAATGCGGCGTGGCATGGAGGCAATCAGCCTGTGGCACTGCTGAGGTGTTATGGAGGCCCAGGATGCTTCGATAGCGGCCTTAAGCTCATCCAGAGTGTTGGGTCTTGCGTCTCTCAACTTTCTCTTCACAATATCTCACAGGTTCTCAAAGGGGTTCAGGTCAGGAGAGTTGGCAGGCCAATTGAGCACAGTAATACCATGGTCAGTAAACCATTTACCAGTGGTTTTGGCACTGTGAGCAGGTGCCAGGTCGTGCTGAAAAATGAAATCTTCATCTCCATAAAGCTTTTCAGCAGATGGAAGCATGAAGTGCTCCAAAATCTCCTGATAGCTAGCTGCATTGACCCTGCCCTTGATAAAACACAGTGGACCAACACCAGCAGCTGACATGGCACCCCAGACCATCACTGACTGTGGGTGCTTCACACTGGACTTCTGGCATTTTGGCATTTCCTTCTCCCCAGTCTTCCTCCAGACTCTGGCACCTTGATGTCCGAGTGACATGCAAAATTTGCTTTCATCCGAAAAAAGTACTTTGGACCACTGAGCAACAGTCCAGTGCTGCTTCTCTGTAGCCCAGGTCAGGCGCTTCTGCCGCTGTTTCTGGTTCAAAAGTGGCTTGACCTGGGGAATGCGGCACCTGTAGCCCATTTCCTGCACATGCCTGTGCACGGTGGCTCTGGATGTTTCTACTCCAGACTCTGTCCACTGCTTCCGCAGGTCCCCCAAGGTCTGGAATCGGCCCTTCTCCACAATCCTCCTCAGGGTCCGGCCACCTCTTCTCGTTGTACAGCGTTTTCTGCCACACTTTTCCCTTCCCACAGACTTCCCACTGAGGTGCCTTGATACAGCACTCTGGGAACAGCCTATTCGTTCAGCAATTTCTTTCTGTGTCTTACCCTCTTGCTTGAGGGTGTCAATGATGGCCTTCTGGACAGCAGTCAGGTCGGCAGTCTTACCCATGATTGCGGTTTTGAGTAATGAACAAGGCTGGGAGTTTTTAAAAGCCTCAGGAATCTTTTGCAGGTGTTTAGAGTTACGTCGTTGATTCAGATGGTTGGGTTAATAGCTTGTTTAGAGAACCTTTTCATGATATGCTAATTTTTTGGGACAGGCATTTTGGGTTTTCATGAGCTGTATGCCATAATCATCATTATTAAAACAATTAAAGACCTGAAATATTTCAGTTGGTGTGCAATGAATCTGAAATATATGAAAGTTTCATTTTTATCATTACATTATGGAAAATAATGACCTTTATCACAATATGCTAATTTTTTTTAGAAGGACCTGTATGTCTTAGCAATGGCTTCCTAAAAAAGAAAAGTCCTAAATTTAAAACATTAAAATGTGTTTTCAACTTATGGCTAAACTTTGATTTCAATGTATTTAAATTATCTAAATTTGGGTTTTCTCTTAGACATGGTTTATGTGAAGTGACACATGATTAAAACTGTGTTTATGACTTTCTCTTACAAAAAGTGGAAGATCGCCAATGCTTGTACCCTAAAAATTGACATTTAGTCAAAAATCAGGACTCAATTTTGGACGATTTCATACTATTTTTATATAGTTTTGTGTACAGTGACTCAAAATGGAATAAATTAACACTGTTGCACACATTTGTGTAGTTACTAGATTAAAAGTGCAAATAACCATGTTGGATAGTTGAACAAGCTTGGTCTCTGAATTGCTCCCCAGGTGCTTACATAGCTGCCCACTGCTCCACCTGGGTGTCTCAGGTGTGATGGGTTAAATGCAGGGAAATAATTTTGCCATTGTATGGGATCATACAATGATGACAACACATAACACTTTACTTTACTTTACATTTCTGACAAAAACTAAATACTTTATTTAATTTAGAATTTTGGGCAAGCCTGCCTTTAACTGACAGCGCATTCAAACAAAAAATGCACTTATAAATACCAAAAATAAAAAAAATAATGTTTTGAGAATACACGTGAAGCAATGAGGTCATTGTAACCTTTCAAAAATTCTGTGCTTTTGTGTTCTTTTATCAAGAACGGCCTGTGGAATGCACGTTACGGTATTTATTTAGCATTGTGAAAATGTGCAACATACTGTGACTTCTATAATGCAGAGGTATCCCAGACAAACAGATTAGTTGAAAAAAAAAGTACCAAACATATACCACTTTGAGAATGGAAAATAATATCCACACAAAATTATAAATGCGTTATTTACATTTTGGAAAATGCAATCTCTTATCAAGAAGTTCTTAAAAGACAAACCAACTTTCCATCACGAGCCTTGAGTAATTCAAATGCATCTTTGCTTGTATTTCCTTAAATATCCTCTATTGTACTTGGATAAATTGATAATTATTCCTAAATTTACATCATGAATTACACATAAACTGTGACTTTAACTAGCACAGCAATCATACAATACCCTGTAGATGCAGTAATGTGCAGACCAGGCAACAATAGTTCGGAGACTTTCAGGAGGATTTTGTAAAATCTGAAAGATGGATTCAGAAAAAAATGCTGTCAAGTGTTTAGTGTATGCACCTGAAGAATGAAAGGTGGGAGCAGAAATCCTACACTGTGTACACAAACAGAAAAAAATATATTTTGCTGATGTGAAGATACTAAAAGAGTAAAGGTAGCTAGTGGCTTTAAACAAACCAAACTGAGAAGAGAAAACCACTTCAGTGTTTAGTTATGCTGGCTTCAGTTCATATTTGCCTTAAACTGAATAATTCCTCCCGGCTAAAACATCAGCAATTCAGATGAATGCTAAAACAGAATCCTTTCCAGGGTATCCTTGGTCTGATTAAAGTTTGAGGCTAGTAACAGTCACGTAATAACCAAAAAAAAAGTAAAATATTTGAGTTAAAAGCCTATCAGTTAAGATTCTGGCATAAAAATCCTTAAAAAGTTACCATGTAAAATCAAAATTACTCATCATTTGATGTCTTAGAAGCTTTATATAAACTGTAAAAGGATTGTATGACTTCCTAATGATGAGTAAAATATCAATAAATCATAATCCATACAAAAAAAAATCATAATCCATACCAAAAAAAAAAGTTTCCCTAGAAAAGAGACGTAAGTGAAGTAAGTCTGAGATTGTCATCATTGTATGTTCCCATACAATGGCAAAACTAGTTATCCTCATTTAACCCATCACACCTGAGATACAACCAAGTGGAGCAGTAGGCAGCTATGCAAGTGCCCGGGGAGCAATTAGGGATTAGGTGTCTTGCTCAGAGACACCGCGACATGGGGGAATGGCTGGGAGTCGAACCAGGACTTTCTGGTCCCAGGTCGGCTGCCCTACCTCTACCCATCGCGGCCTCTATATAAACCAGGTTTACAACATGTATACGGTATTTTCAGAGAAAATCTAGACTTTAACTCTTTAAAAGCTAAAAAAAAAGAAACACGATAAAAATGAACTTAATGTAGACAACAATGATATCTGTAGTTTCTCCAAATTTGACTTTCTATCTATTTTCCCTTCCTTCTCAGAGTTCAAACATTGCAAGTATGGGATGTTTTTTTTTTTTTTTTGGTTGTTTGAGTTCTCTCAATGAGTTCCAGACCTGCATGGACATAAAATCCGTCCTCCCACCCTTTCGAGGCCTGGTGGGGGTGGGTGGAGTCCATGGGTTAGCTTTTTTTCCCCCCTCATAAAAGCATACTTTCAGAAGGAATTCAAAAGATGGTCAACAAAGTGAGTCAACCACACTGAAAGTCCAAACAAGTTTCTGTATCTTTTACTTGGTAGGAAAGAAAAGATGAGGCTCTTGCTTTAGCCAATCATGTTTCACACACACTAATAATTCAGTTCAGACAGAACTTTCAGTGATTTAAGTTTGTGGATTATAGGAAGAAAACATTTGAATAAACAGCTTGGACTTATACGTCATTTAGTCATCTACTTGTTTAATCAAAAGTTATTTATTGCGAAATGTATGTAACTCTGACATAGGTAATCAAAGGAAACTTTAAACTTGGGGTCAGAAAACTTCAAAAAGGACTCTAGAACAGAAAAAAATATAAGATATGCCAACATGGAAATAAACTGCAAACTTTGGCATGATTAAATTACTAAAAAAATAACTACTTCAATGAGGATGTTGTGGGTGTTGATTTGCCAATAGAATCAGCAACATCATAACTTGAAAAGTTATTTTTCCTGTTAATATTTATGTCAACCTAAAAAGATATTCCCTATGTTTGTGTATAAAGAGGACAGTGTGCTAAAGTCTTACCTGGTAAAAAGGGAATGATTCGACGCTTGGGGTCTTTCTGACCTCCTTCCACTGGGAATTTATCCAGCAATTCCATCTGAAATCAAACAATTGTTTGTTTTTAAATATATATATATAAAAAAAAGAAAACATATTATCTGAACAGGGCAGCTGAAGGTGGTTAGGAAGCAATTTTTCACGTATCAGCAGTTCCTACAAGGAATGTGGCCAACAAGGGCAGGTCTGACAATGATCTGGAATGTACTGAGCAGATGGTATGGTTTTCCCCTCAGTTTTATATGTTGCTCTAGCTAAGGGTCTGTTAGCAGCCAACACTGCTGACATAGTGGAACATATCTGTTTCCATCAACCAAAGGCAAAAAGCAGCAGTTTCTTATTTCTCCAAGACTGTCTTTGGAGTTGGTTTTCTAGGACATTCAGCACATAAGTACATCTTTTGTTCTGATTGCTGCACCGGGCCATTTTAACCTATGCACTCAAAAAGTTTGCTCACTTTCTTACTTGACTTTCTTTGACAGTGAGTCTTTTAAGCCTTTACTTATGACAAATTACATGATTCCACTTGTCAAAATATGAATAATAAACAAGAAACAAAAATGTATTTATTTCATTGTTTATCACACATTATATTTAAACATTATGATTAAAAAAAAAAATAATAATAATGTTGCTGCATAGAAAAGCATAACTAGATTACTCAAATGTCAGCTTTTTGGTAATAAACCCTGAACTGAAAATATAACTGTGGTTTATATTTGTATCCGCCGATCACATAAGCATAATCCTGAAAACTGACCGCTGACAGACTAACATAAGTTTTGTTCTATTTCAGACACAAAAATAATTACTGCTGTTCTTACCGGCAGTGCAATCAACATTTAGCAGGTAATGTAAGAGCATTTTAAGCCTTTTCAGCAACTACCTTAAAGCAGCAAAGAATGGTAGTGAGTAACATAATGTTTGAATTGATGTTTTGCTATTTCAAAATACAATCTTGCCCCTACAGAGTCACAAGCCAACAAAAACAGTCCAGAATAAGCTTTGTGCTTTTACCTGCATAATACACTAGAAATTATAAGATGTCTAGTCATAGACATATATCAAATAGAGTCTCTAAAAATCTCAAGATCAACTAAAACAAACAAACTAAGTAAAAGTATGTTTTTTTTTTTCAATACTGCTCTCTTCTGCAGTGGTTGCCACAGTGAGTGAACTTGCATGAAAGATTTAGCAATTGTTTCATGCTGGATGCTCTTCCTGATGCAACCTGGACTCGAACCGGCAGCCCTAGAATTACAAGGCTGTGGCGCTCAACCACTGAGCTACAACACAAATGCAAAACCATATACAAAAAATAATAATAATAAAAAAAAAAAAAAGCTAAGCATTATGTGTTTGACAAGCAAGAGATTTGAGTCTGTACACTTTTTGTAGACCTAGTTAAAGATACAAAAATAAATGGTAGATATCAGAAAAAGGAGTGAGAAATGCTAAAATCAAAAATCATCAATCTGCTTAAGAGTTGGATATTTAGTTAATAACACAGTACCGCCTTAAAAAGGCCAGCATAAACACAGAGACAGCAAGCCAGACAGAGACAAAGAAGATCTAATACCCCACACATTGTAATTGTTCCCATGTGTCTGACTGTGAGTGCAAACACACCCGAGCCTCAATGTCTACTCTAAACCTTGTATCTACTCTGTAATCAGAGCCATTCAAACAAGGAAAAAAAGGCATAAGGAAAGAATAAAGTCAGCTATGACATGCAATCAACATGAACTATTCATGCTTCAGAGGAAAGTGGGTGACAGGCTTGCAGATGTAGACACTGACAAGTTCCATTAATGCCAAGTTGGTCATAATATAGCATATTTGGATAGCTATACAGAAAAATGGTTCCCCGTCTGTGACTACATGATCTGGAATCAGATAAAAGTCAAAAATGTGTTGGGATGCACATCCTCTCAGATCTTTGTGTGCATTTTCTGATACATTCACAAGCACATTGGGTTAAAATCATGATGTTTACCACAGCCTTCATGAACAGAAGCCATGACTCCTGTTATAAACAACTTGTGGATTACAACTGTAAATTCTGCACAAAATAAGCAGAATTTCAAAAAAACTTCATTCTCCTGAAATGACCTGCCTAAAACTTTATTTTGCAGCTACAATCAAAGTATGTTATCTTGATATAACAAAGTTCCCGTTTATTTTTTAGACACTACCATAACTTGTATGGAATAAAAACATTTAACAGCACCAGTCTGTAGCTTTTTCTGTGAGTTTTATTTTATTTTTCTAGCTGATATGGTGAGTAACATATTCATCCTGGGAACTGTGTTTTTTTCTAGTCTGATCTCTGAATTAATGGCATCAGGACTGAAAAGAACTCGTAAAAGATCGTGGGGAGAAAAGAATGCTGAATGAAACCATAAAAATGATCTTTGAACAATAGATGCTCTATTTGCAGTGCAGTTCTCTCAAGACCAGTGATTCTGTTATTCAATTTACTGTAAAGCCATGTCTGAGGTCACTTGTAACCAGTTGCAGACAATTAAACTGACACTGAAAACTCTTAGCTTTGGGTGCATTTAGCACTTTGCTAAGCATGAACTTTGATGTCTTGAACCACTTTGGCTGTGGCTGCCTGCCTGGGAGGAGTCGACAGGGGACAGGACAGCCCCCAGAAACCATCTTATCTCCAGCAAACTGGTTGGTCCACTTAAGGAGTGCACTACTTAGTGGGGAAACAGTTTACTTTGGACTCCTCAGATTGATGAAGCCCTCTGGATAGAGGGTGAAACATCTCTACAAAAAAAAAAAAAAAAGAAACTGTCCAGATGACCCGACTGAGCATTATTGGATTTGGTGCCTGGATGACTGAGCATGAACTTTGATGTTTTAGCAAAGTGCATGCTCCCTTATTAAGAAATTAACATCTATTGCTATGGGCAGTCTTAGTTTTGTTTGGTATATTGTACACGCATATGTTTGTGGTATGTTGGAATATATTTGTTGCATTTCATTCACAAAAGCAATTACCGGTATGTCACCATTCAGGATTATGACAGTTTTAATCATCCAGAGGTTGACTTCAGACAACCAACTTCTTTGACTAACTAAACATGAAAATAATTTATCTTGAGGTATGTATATATTTTTTTTCTTCTGTAGTTTTAAGGTGTTCTTTTCACATTCCACAGGTCAAATACAACGGCCCTGTGACGGACTTGCGATCTGTCCAGGATATCCTCCACCTCTCGCACGGTGACAACTAGATATGTCACCAGTGAACCCCGCGACCCGGAAAAGAAAAAACGGGTAAAGATAATGGATGTATGTGGATGTATTACAACATTTGATGGCATTTGCTGTCGGAACACATGACGAGCTTACATTATTACAGCATTTAAAAAAAAAAAAAAAAAGACTCTCCACCATCCACCAAACCTAGCCAAAAAAAAACCATAAAATTGTTGCAGATGGGAAAAGCAAATTTTAAATAATTTGAAATGACATTTATTTTCCTGCATCTTTTCATATCTAGCTAAATTATACACTGGAGTAGACACTACGCCTTAAAAGCAATATCCTTCAGGTGGAAGGATATTGGGGGAGGCAGCTATGTATTTATTTTAATATTCTGAGAGGGGGAAAAACGGGTGGCACAGTGGCTCATTTGGTACAGCTGCTGCTTCTCAACAAGAAGGTCGCTGGATTGAATCCCAGCTGGGGGCATTTCTGGGTGGAGTTCTCTCCGTGCATGCATGGGTTTTCTCCGGGTACTCCGGTTTCTTCCCACAGACCAAAAACATGTATGTTGGGCTGATTGGTAACTCTAAATTGGGTGTGAGTGAGAGTGAATGGCTGGTTGTCTCATTTGTCTCTATGTGTCCCTGTGATGAACTGGAGACATGTCCCTGTTCTCTCAACTCTAGCACAGTGACTGCTGGATATGGACACAATTGACCCGGAAAGGAAGAAGTGGGTATAAAGAAAATGGATGGAAGGATGGAGAGGGGAAATAAATGCATTTTCCTATTGATAAACATTTTACTTATCAGTGCTACAGACATAAAGAGACAAGAAAATACAGACTGAAACGTGGATGCCATCATCCGAAATGTTAACCAATGTCAACAAAATAAACTTTCACATAGGTGAAGGGTTGCCATCTATTCTTATGATCGTCATACTATTTTTACATTACACATTAATCAGTTGGCAGCACGGTGGCGCAACTGGTAGAGCTGCTGCCTCTCAGCGAGCAGGTCCTTGGTTCAAACCCCGGTCCAGGGGCCTTTCTGCGTGGAGTTTGCATGTTCTCTCCGTGCATGCGTGGGTTTTCTCCGGGTACTCCGGTTTCCTCCCACAGTCCAAAAACATGCATGTTAGGCTGATTGGTAACTCTAAATTGTCCCTAGGTGTGAGTGAGAGAGTGAATGTTTGTTTGTCTCGTTTGTCTCTATGTGTCCCTGTGATGGACTGGCGACCCGTCCAGGGTGTACCCCGCCCCTCGCACAGTGATTGCTGGACATGGGCACCAGCGACCCCCGTGACCCAAAATGGAATAAGCGGGTAAAGAAAATGGATGGATGGATGGACATTAATCAGTTTAGCCACTTCAAACACCAAAAACTACAAAAATTGCTAAAAAAGTGTTGCATTTTTGTTAGTGTTGTACATCACATCCGCAGGTCTTTCTTTGACAGCTGGAAAATTAATGAGGTACTATTAATAGGGTTCTTTAACTTACAGTAAGCATTACAAGTTATTACAAAGAGGCGAGAGAAAACGACTATATAACAATTTCTTCAACCACAATTCTCAACTAGGAAGTAAAACCACGTCAATGCAACAGCACAGTCAGCGTCAGTGGTCACGCAGAAAACACATGTTGTCATGGTTTATTCCAAGTGTTAGCTGATGTGTGTAAATTTACTGACAGGATGTGGTGAATCACACATCCTGCCAGGATCCTAAGCAGAAATTCGGAAAGACCAAATAACATCAAATCAAGAAAAAAATGGTGAGAAGACCAGGCAATGGAAAGGCAAAAGAGGATGACAAAAAAAAGAAGTGGTTAACAAGAAGAGCTAAAATGACATCACTATGATGGCCATGAACGAGGGAGGATACCAGTAAGTTCAGCTTAGTTCTTTCTCATCAAAGCCAATAGTCAGCAGCAAAGTCATAGTCTACTCTTTTAGGTACATTTTGAAGCCTAATTTTAAAACTCCACATGCACACATACTGACTTTTTTTTTAAATCTTAATATATAGAAGGATGATAATTTTCATGATAAATTGTTGTATTTTCCAATCAGTTGCTTAAAATGACATACTGTTAAATACACTTTTGTGAAGAACGTGATAAAAAACATTTGTAATTTTTCCATTTCCTTTTCTTACCATGCCGTCATTAGCTCGACACACCAAACACAACAGGAAGTAGATGAATGACATAGCTGTGGTGGTGAGGAATGCATCAGCTGAAAATACCTCATATGACCATTAAACACTGTGTCAGTGATAGCGATAAGACATTCTGGTCATTTGATGAAGTAATGCAATAAACAGGGTGTGAAAAGATGAAAATAAACTGTGAAACGACGGACATGTTTGCTTACTGTGTGGTGTAGCAACAAGACAAAAAGTTATTTACAAATAAAATAAAATAAAAAGAAGATTGCAGAACTGATCGGTTAGTAATGCACCAGCCATTACACTAGATAATATTTCTGGCTTTCAAAACACTTTTCAGACCATTAGAGAAATAAAATCCATTGTCTCGTTATTATTTTAAAAACCCTCTTTATATTCTTCTTCCTTAAAATAATTACACTATTTAGCTGTTTCTAAAAACTTCAAAAACAAAACTGATTTCACAAAGTAATGTTTGAAATATAAGACAAAACCTCACGGCAGTTTGAATTTTTAAAACATAAAAATAGCCACAATTTTAAATTAAAAGGCAATTGCCAGAAAGTGAAGTTATCCAAAAAAAAAAAAAAATCATTGTGGTTTAATGTTCAAAATGTCTCTCAAACTTTTCCTCACAAGATCCAGCAATAAAGCAAGCTTTAATGTTTTACTAACGTGATATACATTATGTGAAACAAATCAATTAGAATCAATTTCTGTTTAAAACTTATAAAGCAACTTTGTCTTCACCATTTTGTGCTCCATAAACAATAAATAATATACAGTCAGTAACGTCGTCAGTAACTTCAAATGCTTTTTTTAATGTTGCCTCGCCTCACAACAGACATTTAGCTACCAGTAAAAGAAAAATAGTAACATGAGCAGATGAACAAGCGTTCTGTTGCCATCTTTGCAGGTTCAATACTGATGGAATTAGTATTTAACACTTTAGTCTTTTGGTTACCTGCACAATGGCAACCCCAGGAAGCTTTGGTGAGGAATTACATGCCTATACTTCATTGCTCATGCATATATTTAAATCAATTACTACGTAGCAAATTCAGTTAGGATTGACAATATGTTTCGTCTGAATTGACTGCATGCTCATTTGAGGCAATCTCTTTACTTGATTTCTTGGGAAGCTGTGCTCTCCAAGCTCAGATATTGCCAGTCCCTGAGATCCATTACCTTCGAAAGAGGAAGGGAAACTATGATACTAAGATTTCCTTCCTGTGCAACACACACTGGCAGCATTAGGTTTAAATGGTTCATACATATCTGTGGTCATCGCTGTGGTCGTCCCATTCATCACTGCCCTCCATTAACATCACAGGGACATTTTCTGACTCCTCACATGCAACATAATTACCAGTGTCAAAAGGGTGGAGCTGGGAAAAGCTGCTTGTACAATGAAGCCAGACCTTCCATTTACTTTCTGGACTCATGCTCATCTTTATCAGTGGGAAAAAAAAAAAAGTGTCATGACTTTTTGCCACCTGAAACATGCATTTCTGTAATTTTACAGGACAGAAAATAAAAACACAAGCTGGGTTACTCTGAAACATTTGTTAAACTGGAATTGTTTTCGTCCATTAAAAAAATAAAATCAGTCCAAACAAAACAGAAATTCCAACTAATACATTAAAACACAATTGCCAGGCCCCTAGATGACAAAGGCAATGGAATTCAACACATCAAAATCACAAGGGAAGGCATTTTAAGCATAGTTTTATTTTTTTCCTTCTCAAAACAATTAGATCTTGTTTGTTTGGATTTGGTCAAACTTTTCAATCATTGACAGTTTCAGCTCATGACCAAAGGTAACTGACAACAGGATCTAGATCAAGTGAAGCAAACACAAGAAAAAAAAAAAAAAAAAAAGGTAAAAAATGTCTCCAGTGTGGACGTGCACGTTTTAGGCAACATAATCGTTTTTCACCTAAAACAGTCGTATGTAGATGAAAGTTGCATATGTTGCAAAGAAAGTTAATTTTGGTGGTTATTAGGGCTGGACAATAATTCGATATCGATATATATCGCAATATACTTTTATTCAATAATGGTGATATGATGACCTGACTGAAAAATGTTGGATTGTATACCTGGATTATTGAGCATGGACATTGTTGTTAATGGTGATATGAGTTTTAAGCACATTTTCAATATTTCGATATGATTACAGCGTTTCACTGACGCATTTCTTTTTCTGTTCGGGTTGAAGTGGCCGCTTCAGTTTCAAGCCGGACAGAAAAAGGTGTGACACAACTAGGTAAGTGCATGGTGACATAGATGTTATGCAGAGCTCGAGTCCAGAAGGTGTTAGCGGTAGCAGGCTAGGCTAGGCTAGGCTAATCTCCAATGCGCGTTAAGTTTTCGCTTCAAAATGAGTGCCCATGACCGTCAGAATGTGACTGAACAGGCTTTCACAAGAGAAGAGAACACAGATTAAATAATTGATAAGAGAGGAAAGACTAATTCGGCGGTGTGGAAGTGATTTGGCTATCTCCGGCTATCGGTTAGATCTGATTAACTGCAGGTTTCAGTGTGCTGCAAAATGTGATGGAGAGTCGTTCCAACTAGCGGTGGGAACACATCTAACTTGTTCCACTCGATAGAATATACTGAGAGACAGACGATTAAGCACAATAAAAGTTTGAACCAACGTGTCCCTGAAACAACACTCCCAGCTGTATCAAAAGAGAAACACATGTAGCAAATGTCTGGTGCATGGGTTAGGTTATGTTGTTGTTGTTTAAAGTTAAAACTATTAATATTGACAACGTTGAGAGTTTTATGTTTATTTGACGGTGATTTCCATTTTTTTTGAAGGCTAAATATAAATAAAAGGAGAACATTAATTTATTTGTACAGTTTGTACAGCTTTTCTGAGGCTTTTATATTGTTTATATCGATATTGAATTATATCGTTATTGACCGAAATTAAGAAATATGTTGTGATAAAAGTTTTGACCATATCGTCCAACCTTAGTAGTTATTCATGTCAGTATAAACAAAAATATACAGTGATCTAGGGTTACATTCCAGACATCCCCAGGGTAGTGAAAATCCGCAAAGTAGCAGCAATATATATATTATATTATTTATAGGGCAGCTGTGGCTGAGTGGTTAGAGCAGTCGTCCTCCAATGCAGGAGTTGGGGTTTCGATTCCACCAGCAGTCACATGTCCAAGTGTCCCTGGGCAAGACACTGAACCCCTCATTGCCTCCGATGTGTGTCCCATCGGTGTATGAATGTGATAAAGCTCTGATTAGTCTTTGTACATATATAGTAGAGTGCTGTATGAATGGGTAAATGAGGGCACAGGTTGTAGTGTAAAGCGATTTGAGTATCTTGATTAGATAGAAAGGTGCTATGTAAGTGCAGTCCAAAAACAGGTCTCTCTTGTAAATGAGTCCCTGAGGCTCATTGTGATTAATGTCTAAATAAAGGTTGAATGAATGAATTCACCATATCGGTTTAAAGCTTTATAAAACCTTCCCACACTCCTACAAACCTTTCCCACTATCTTATAAGCACTTCAGATGCTCTTAAACACTTTGGTGATGGCGATGATGAGATGAATGTACAGTATGTACAATGTAAAAAAAAAAAAAAAACAGGTTTAAAAAATCCACGATACAGTGAAGCCGCAAGAAGTGAACCGCAATATAGCGAGGGACGGCTGTATACACTAAACGGTATAAACTAAACTGAGTCAAAAACACTCAACACAAACAACACATACTAACAGTTACTCACCTGGAGGTCAAAAAACTTGCTGTAGCGTCTGTATATGGTTTCTGTGCTGCCATCGCTCCAGGAGACTTTGATGATGTAAACCTGTCAAAGCAAAAAAAAATAAACATAAAATTTACAAAGAACTTGCAAAAGTAAACTTCAACAATCACGAGAAACCATGAAATCCAGACTATTTGGGGCAGTATTCCTATTTTGTTGAAAACCCCATGGCCCAGATGTAGAAAGGCAGACAGACACTCTCAGTTGGCCTACATCAGACATCAGCCTCTATTATTGTCTGTCCACATGAACACAGCAAGAATATTGCATTATTCAACTTCCTAAAGTATTTGAATCACTTCCTGTTGATGAATGGATCATTATCCTGTATGGATAACTGTTGTGGCTTTTTATGGAATATTGCCGTGGCAGGCATTGTCTCAGAGAGGTAAAAGAAGGAACAGCTGATGTTATGCTTGAAACAAAAGAGGCATTAAGCTTACATTAAGGTGATATCATTTTCACATTGTACTTTGCAAACGAAAGGGGCCACAGTAGCTCTGTGGTCAATACTGCAGCCTCATTATTCTGAGGCTACAGGTTTGAGCCCAGGTTGCGTCACAAAGGGCATCTAACATCACGCACTTTGATTGGTGATATGTGCTGCTGATTATCCATGCTGCTGATTAAGCCTGTCACAATAACAAATTTTGCTGGGCGATTAATTGTCTTAGAAATTATTGCGATAAACGATAATATTGTTTTAAACTTAACAATAATTAATTGTCATATTTTAGAAGAAATGTTGATTTGGTTGAAGTGTAGTACCTGTTTTGACCGCCTGATGGCAGTATAAGACTGTTTGAACCAAAGGATGGATAGCTGAGCAGCGTCGCTTTAAGAAAAATGGGAGGGCCCTTGACGTGACATGGGCCGACATGGTGGACGCTCTGTGATATGAGCTCTTTAGCATAGCATTTTTCACACAAAGCCTTTAATAAAAATAAAAATAAATCAGTACACAAGTTCTCAGCTTCTTTTTGCAGAGAAAAACAACTTTTTTACACAAAGACATGGACTTAAACCGTGAATTTTGGAGCTTCAACAAGACGGAGGTGTATTCCCGAGGCCGGCCTGTTAGCTTAGCTTGTAGATTAGCTTCTCAGCTTAGCTGCTTTTAACGATTCAAAAACGTGATTTTGGATGGTTAAAATGTATTTTTAAAAAGGAAAGAGAAAGGAGGGGTCAATGGAGAGCACAGGAGTCGAGCCGTGTCTTACGTAGGAAGAGAGAGACACGAAGAAACGATAAAGCCGGTAAATGAAAATGAGGTCGATAATTTTCATTCATCATGCGATTAATTGATTTATTGTTTATCGTGACAGGCCTACTGCTGATCTCATGCTGCTGATTATTTCATACTGCTGTATTCATTTGTACTCATCTCCTCGCACAGACTCCTGTTTGCGCTGCTGTTGTTCAGCGTATTGTTTTGCACTATTTATGTTTAGCGTATTCTTAGTTTAGTGTGTTTAGTTCATATCTTAGCTTTTACTACCGTTTCTTTTGCAGTGTATGTTTTTGATATTGTTGGATGTAATTGGGACCCTGTGTACACAATTTCGTTACACCTCATGTACCTCATGTGATGCGAATGATAGTAAAACCTACTTAAACTTGAACTTGATTAGAAAACAAGTGCCAAATCTCATGTGTAAGTTCATTTTTGTGAGCCCCAAAGCGCAGAGGAGCCAAAATAAACATAAAAAAAAAAAAAAACTTTATAAATGAAAGAACATTTTAATACGAAATGATCACTGTTATTACACATCTAACCTAATTGCTGCGGTCTGGAGGAAACAGACACGGTTTTCAGTCTGTTCTAGACAATAAAAAAAGGAGGGCAAGGAGGGAGGTGATTGGAAAATCCCCGGTGGCTCACTTTGTCTGGCTGACTGTTGCTGGCCTTACTCCCAGACCTCCTCTGGGCCTTGCTCTCTATTCCAGGGCAGCAGGGTTAAATGTTGCCATGGATGGGAGCAACACAGACAAGAAGGGAGGTTTGGCAAAAAAAAGAAGAAAAAAAGAAGTTTGTGTCAGTAAACACAAGGACCAGAAGCCAATCTATACAATTTGGTACCAATTGTAGACTGTTGAATTCAGTTTGTATCCATTTAATGGTCAAAATACAGACAAAACAGTCTGCTAAACCAAATGTTGAACATTACTCATAAGTTTAATACAAGCCCTTAAAATACCTGAGGTATAATTGACTGGGAAGAGCACAAAGGCTTTTTTTAAATTTTTTATTTAAACTCAATGTGTTTTGGAAAGGGTGTCAAGCCAGCATGTGAGAGAAAATACCATGAGCACAAAACAAGAGGAGTTACACAACAGCATAAAAAGACAGATGGAGAAGACACAGGACCACAAGTCTGGAGCGTCCTTGGCCACCAACTCACAGCAGTATAACGCCTGTTGGCTCCATGTTTGGTTTTTTTTAAAGTACAAACATTTGAAGGCAAAGAATTGTAAGAGAACACTCATGTAGGGACACAATATGGACAGAGAAGTGGCAAACACCTGTTATGTTGCCATTAGTGTCTCATTTTTGGACTTGTTGTTTCCATGATGTCATACAGTTTCTCCTGCCTGTGGGTTTGCAGACAAATTCCTGCACATTTATTTTCTCCCACTGCTCAAGTCAAGACAAAACTGATTAAAGTGTCATTGTATAGAGATGTTAGAAATGAGTCTTTGTCTTTCTGACATTCTTGGCAAACGTTCAAGCTTGGCAGAAATTACTGAGAGGAATAACATGGTCTTGTGTTCTTAAAACTTAAATCCTTTGAACTGGTTTGGATACTAAATGCACAAATTAAAACTTCCTTACAAAACAAACACTATAAAAGGTCCAAATGCACCAATACATGATAATAAATGGCTTATTCCATGTTAGAATAAAGCTGTCACTGCCTTAACAAATATTTATCCCTCCTGATCTGTTTTGTTGAGTTAATGGGCAGAACTGACTCATGGCAACGCTTGAAATGCCTCCGAAATGTTGGCAGACAATAATTTGCCTAGAGTATGTCCTGAGAACTTCACCACACAAAGCTAAAACCAACAGTTAGACAGAGTTCAGTTTGTTGGTGAGGTCAATTTAAGTCAATTGACTCTATTCACATACATGAGGGGGCATAGGTCAAATGAGCCAAACATTCAATTCAATTCAGTTTATTTATATAGCGCCAAGTCACAACAGAAGTCATCCCAGGGCACTGAACAGAAATATTCATATGGTACATAAAAAGTAAGTTAACACTATTTATCTGAGGAGCAGACTGCTTGGGAAATCAAAGATCGTCCGACACTTAAATGAGAAACCGATTTTACCGATTTCTTGTAGTTTTAACAACAATTGTCTAAACTTCGTTTATATTTCAGAACACTACCTCGTGGCCAGTTAAAACAAGTTTGTATTGTTGGATATTATTCAAGTGTATGTTTTTCAATAAAATACTGGAAAATTGAAGGTGCATTGTGACCTTACAACACCTGACGGTGTCGCTAATAAAACAAAATCTATATTGGCCGAAATCAGAATCGGCAGGTCAGACTTTTTTTAGAGCTCGGTGATCGGCCAGAAAACTGCAATCGGTGCACCCCTACAGAGAACTGAAAGCTCGTCCTCCTATTCTGCATTTAGAAACTCTAGGAACCACAAGTAAGCCTGCAGTCTGAGAGTCAAGTGCTCCGTTATACGGAACAATAAGACCTGTAATATACAATGGAGCTAGGTTGTTGAGAGCTTTGTAGGTTAGAAATGAGATTTTGAATTATATTCTAAATTTGACAGGGAGCCATTGGAAAAAAAAAAAAAAAAACTGGAGCGATATTATGTCTCCTGCCATTGACTCTGGCAGCAGCATTCTGGATCAACTGGAGACGTTTTAAAGAAGTATTTACAAACCATTGCATTAGTCCAGCCTAGACGTGATAAATGCGTTTCTGCATCACTTTTAGATGTTTACACCTAAAATTACACCTAAACAAATTTGTATTCAGTAGTTATTTCCTAGAGTATAGAATAAAACAACCTTGTCTCTTTGTCACTGTGGGACTTTTTTTTATTATCTGAAACTAACAGTCCCAATCTAAATGTTTTTTTTTTTTGTTTTTTTTTCAAAAGCCATATTTCCCCCCTCTTGTGCCCCCCCTCTGTAATTTGACACTCTTTGTTATCGCTTGTCCCACCAGCTAAAGAATCCCCTCACTCCAAAGTGTGATCGTGCACATATATCTTACGTAGTGTTTGCTCGGAATCCTTCTCTTCTGGACATCTTGCACGGTTACTTCGTGCACGGCGCGCGGTGGCATGGTGTCCCCTTCTTCTTGCCTTCTTGCGTTAACCAAACGCAGAAACCCCTGGAAGTTTCTTAGGAGGGATCACGCACCGGTTGGAAAAGTTGTATATTATTTAATACAACCGCCGCTCTCCTTCGTCATTCGCTCTGTTCTGGTCCGTGACTCCGGACAAAAACCGCTTTTCCGCCCGGTTTCCTGTCCGTTTGTCGGCTCCGTTGCTTCCCCTCTACTTTCTTTCTTTCAGCCTTGTCCCTGCCCGTTGACGGTTCCGACCAAACTCCCAGCCTATCCCAGCTCGCCCACTCTCCTGTGAGCAGCTGGAGAGCTCGGCTTGAAGGACCAGCCCACCCCGGCGTCACTGCTAACCACAGGCTGCCGGAGACAGGCTGCTTTTGGCTGGACACTGGTGGGTTAAAGAAACAAGAGTCAGGGCTTTACCGCCCCTTTTTGTTATTCGAGTGTTAGCCTACTTTAAAAAGTTGTATAATTAACGGGCAAGCTTTCCTAGAACGGACGCATATCGTCATAATGGATGGAGTTACGTGCGTTTTTGAAACCTTGTAAAGACGTAATGCAAGATCTCGTGAGATATCGTGAGATCTCGCGAGACGCGGTAAGCCGGTTGAAGATGACCAAGGGGTCTGCGACCTTTAGGATCAAAAGAGCCGCATCTGTCATCACCTGGTGGCCCTTGGGCCACTTTGTTTGTTAGAGGGGGCTTTTTCTGGCCAATAGGCATAAAATTATAAAACTAACAAAACATCTAATGATTGTTTTTATTTATTTAACCAGACAAATCCCATTAAGATCACAGATCTCGTTTGCATGGGAGGCCTGGGCCTAACATGCATGTTTTTGGTCTGTGTGATGAAACTGGAGTACCCGGAGAAAATACGCAAGCACGAGAAGTAATATCCTAGATCTAACTGGGAGTTGGACTCAGGACCTTCTTGCTGTGAGGCAACAGTGCTAACCACTGATCCATCGTGATGAACATCTATTGATATTTTTACATTTTAAGACTAAAGAAAAGACTGGATTCCAGCCAGCCATTATTTTTACTCGCTTTTTCTTTTTTGGTTTGCAGTTATTTTTTTTATTTATTTATTTATTTTTAAATTTTGGAGAAATTGAGTAGCCTACTTTGAAGCAATATAGCATAAAGTTAAAGGGAGTATAATGTACTCAGTGTATTAGTATCCACATATTTGCAAAGGCAAGAATGACAAGAAAGCTGCTCAAACTCGTCATTTGTTGTTGTGGGTAACATCCTCTAAAATCCAGTTTTATGTTAGTTTTGGTCAAAGCTCGAAAGAGTCGCTGCGGAGAAAACAAAGATCCGCACGTGGCTCCAGAGACACAGATTGCAGCAAACCCCTGCCGTAGACGTATGTCTGGCAGAGGCAATTCTAGAATCCGACCTTACAGGTGCTTAGCCCCCAGTGCTGACAATGGCTCTTGGCTTGAGCGATGTGGTGGCCATGAAAGTTTAATGATGAACTTGTTTCATTGAGTCAGACGAGTACTGGTATGTTTGCACTCTTTGCACACATACAAACATTTTGTACTGACAAATCCTACAATGTCAGATGTCTTACATGAGGACAAACTGTGATCGCTGATTGGTCAGTTGCTGACAAGCCCACTGGATTGATTGACAGATGGCGTTGAGGATCCGACTCGCGCAAAAAAAAAAAAAATCATAGATTTTACTGGGCCGTTTAAGACTGTCATCATTTATTCCATATTTATTCAGTATTTTGGTGAATCTAAGGTTTGAGAACTAAGCTTCCTTTCAAAATCCTAATGGTTGTTTCTTTATTTTTCAGGGCTGCTGAGGGGTGCACGAGCACCCCCCAAAAAGAGGATAAAATCACCACTGGTCTGTGGTCCATCACAGGGACACATAGAGACAAACAACCATTCACTCTCTCACTCACACCGAGGGACAATTTAGAGTTACCAATCAGTCTAATTACTAAACCGGAGTACCCAGGGAAAACCTACACATGCATGGAGAGAACATGCAAACTCCACCCAGAAAGGCCCCAGACCGGGAGTTGAACTGGCGACCTTCTTGCTGAGAGGCAACAGCTCTGCTGACTATGCCACCATGCTGCCCACTCCAACCTACTACCTACCACATCAGATTTAGCTCAATCGATTTTAAAGAGTGAATTATTGCCGTTTTAGCGTATGCTAACTTTTCTTAGCTGTGGCAGCCATCTTGATAGGGCTTGATCCCAGAAGTGAAGATGTAAAATCAGTTACTTTCTGAAAGTTTGGTGAAAAACCTGTCAACTGGTTCATATAATACTGTACTTATGCTACATATAAACCACAGACACACATAAACAGCTGTTTTGTCTTTACTGAACTGACTTGTTCTTTGAAACTTTTGAACACTGTTTCAGCTATTTCAGTTATTTATGCGCTGACCAGTAACATATTCAATCCTGGGCATCATTTTCAAGGATTAGCCAGCTAATTGCTTATCTATTAACTTTACAGATTGGGTTGTAGAAACAGTTTTCCTCTCCTGTAAGTCTCAAAACGTATTGCTCTCTATCCAACATTTTTCAGTCAGGTCATCTGGACAGTTACTTTTTTTTTTGTGCTGAAACGTTTCGCCTTCGATCCGGAAGGCTTCATCAGACTTTGTGGACTTTGTTGTTTTCAACCAGTTTGACAAGACTGTCAACAAGGAAGAGGGCCGGCAATGGAGGAGGGGGCGTACCAAAGAGACCATCTTATCACAAGCAGAACTGGTTTGTTCCACTTTGGAGTAAGCTGTTGGGAGAAGAATCAGTTTTGTTGTGTGTTTCCTTGACTGATGAAGCCTTCCGGACCGAAGGTGAAACGTTTCAGCACAAAAAAAAGAAACTGTCCAGATGACCTGACTGAAAAATGTTGGATTGTGTACCTGGATTATTGAGCATGGACTTTGTTGTATTGCTCTTTAAAACGAGTTTTCTTGAACAAAGATGAGCAATTCAAAAGGGTTTGTAACTAAGAGGTTGTGTCACAGTTTGTTATTTTCATTGCCGTTCACAGATAAAAAAAAAAAAAGTTACTTGCTCATAATAAATGGGAATGAAAGTAATAAATAAATGCTCTAACAAATCTAATTCTTAAGGCTCTTCTCACCACTCCTGTGTTCGTATTAGAAATGTCTCCTGTTTGAAGAAAATGTGAATAAACTGAGACGCTGAAAAATTTTCCACACACTTTTTTTCATTTCACCTTTATTTAACCAGACAAAAACACTAAGAACAAATGATCATTTACAGTTTTGGCCTGGCCAGCACCAACACACTTGCTGGGTCAAGGGAAGGGAAACATTACAGTTTATTTTATTTATTTTTTATTTATTTAACTTTATTTATACAGATAGTCTCATTGAGTCACAAGAACTCATTTTCAAGAGAGACCTGTCTTTGGGAGCAGATGGTGGGGGTTAGGGGCCTTGCTCGGGGGCCCAGAGTTGGGCAAACGAGTGTGGAGGCAGGTGTGGATGTTTCACCTTCTCCACCCACATTTTGATGTTAATGGTACTAGGAGTTGAACCTACGACTTTCCAATCACAAGCCCATCTTCTCTAACCTCTGCACCACCACTCCCCCATAGGCCAAACAATAAAATGTAGTAGTCAATAATAAAGGAAAATCACAAATTACATTAACATGTCATTGTCAAAGTCAAAAGACCGCTTTACTAAGCAATAAAACATTTGAAAGTATTTTTTAAAATGTCTTTTAAACAATTTTAAAAGTAGAAACTGACAAGTGAGGTCAGACCCAATTATTTTTGAAACGGATAAACAATTAAAAGGTAAATTTCACTACTGTAGTTCAACTATTATATTAAGCGTATTTCTTACCATTTTAATGTGTTTTGTTTATAAACATTTAAAACAATAGTGTGACTTTTTACAGGTATTTATGAAATCCTGTATGTTTACTGTGTTCAATTGTACATTGTTTGCAAAGTAGCGCCATCTTTTGGTGGATTATACTCACTGCATATGTGCATATCATCAAAGTTTGCTCAGCAATGAATGCGTTTTAAACTTAAGATAAACAAAAAAGGTGCATCTAGAAACATGGAATTGGTATAATAATAGAAAATTCAGGACTTTTACTATGATAATAAAAAATAGCTTAATAGAAAACAGAAGCAGAAATGAAGCTAAATGTATTTCATCATGTAACTACACATACATAATGATGAAAACAGCATGCGATAATGTATTTATTATACAAGTTTTAAACGTTTGTAAGAAAACTAAAAAAACTATAAATCTTTAAGAAAATGTATGAGAATTTGTTTTTCTCTTTAGGGTATATTCATAGATTAAAACGGGGAAATAAAACACAAATGGCTCTGACTACAAAAACAACAAACACTGGTCATTACAAGTTTGCGATCAGGAGGTATTTGTATTGCCGTATAGAAAATGTGTCACACTGTCATTTTTAGGATCTGAGAAATCAGGTTTTAATATGCCATGAACAATAAGTTAAAATAGCTATGAACAAAGAAAGAACAACTATATATATATATATATATATGTATATATATATATATATATATATATATATATATATATATATATATACATATACTATACTATATATACTATACTATATACTATACTAACTATACTATACTATACTATACTATACTATACTATACTATACTATACTATACACTATATAATATACTATACTATATAAATTACTATACTATATACTATTATACTACTGTATATACTATACTATACTATACTGTACTATACTATACTATACTATACTATACTATACTATATACTATATACTATACATACTATACTATACATATACTATATGTACATATATTTAAATTAGATTTTCAGCAATGAAGAGTTCTCAACTTTTAGCACAAGAGAAATAAAAAAAAAAGCAATGGTTTCTCACATAAATCCTTATAAAGTAAAAGTCACAATTAAACTAATCAAAATTTAAAGGTCACATAGAAAAGGTGGAGGGTTGTTACACACAAATGCAACTTCTAGTAAAAGTATGTTTCTTTTGGCTGCTCGATCTTCAGGGGTTGCCACTCAGTGAGCAAACTCACATGAAAGATTTGACAGTTGCTTTCCGCAGGATGCTCCTCCTGACACAAGCCGGGCTCAAACCTGCAACCTCAGTATTACAAGTCCACGGTGCCGACCACCAAGCTACCGCAGCCCATTCTCACATGTGGCTTCACGTGTGAGATTATAAAGTAAAATTATTAACAGATAACCAGGGTCTTCACCTTGATTCAACCAAGAGGT